ATTTCTGGAGATGCCCCCTAACTGCCCACCCCAGTCAGTTGCAGATTTCCATTCATTCTCATGACTATCTGGCCATCCTTCCTGTCCCTCCACTCTTTCACCCAGTTCACTCCCTCCATCTGCTTCTTATGATTATTTTATTCCCCCTTTTAAGTCAGATTCAAGTATTCTTGCTTGTGCCTTCCTTCTTATTTCGCTTCTTTGGGTCAGTGGAATGAAGTATGGGTATCCTGCATTTTATGGCTAATATCTGCTTATAAGTGAGTATATACCATACATGTCCTTATGGGACTGGGTTTTCTCACTCTGATATCATTATCTACTATTTGACTGTAAAATTTGTGATGTCTTTGTATTTAATAGTTGAATGGTATTACATTGTGTAGATGTACCACATTTTCTTTTTCCATTCTTCATTTGAGGAACATCTAGTTTATTTCCAGGTTTTGCTATTATGAATCAAGCTTCTACGAACATAGTCGAGCAAGATTCTTTGTGTGATGGTGGAGCATATTTTGGGCATATACCCAGGTCACTTTCACATTGCTAATTTGCTTCCACTGCTTATGTTTTGCCAATATTGCCTGCTGTATCTTCCAACAAACTCAGTGGTCACCAACTAAGGAAGCTATCCTATTCATACTGTATGATACCCCATGTGCCTTCATTTTTGACAGTTCATGAGTATTATTTGCCAATTTGGTTTCCATTCAATTACATGAGCTGATTTTTGGGTCTAAAAGTAAAATATATTTTGGTTTCAAGAGTTTATTGATATGTTTGACTAATAATAAAAAGAGATTGTGAGAATCTGTTATTAGAAACATAAAATAATTTTATCTCATATGTAATGAAAGTTATATTAAGAATCAATGTAATCCTGTTATCCGTAAAAGTGAATGTCTATGTAATTTCTAGAGACATGTGAAGTGTTGATAAGGTATTTATTATGGTTATGTATGTGAATAGTATTATATAAATTTCTTCACCATTTTGCTTTTGAGAATACTACACAGACAATATCAAATATCAAATATTTTTGATTTCTTATCAGTTACACACCCCAATTTAGAAGCATAAACATTTCTGCTAAACATTTTCTTCATAAAACCTCTTTTAAAGTATTATTTACTTTATGGTAAAGCCACAGTAAACAATGTGTATTTGTTCCACAATTTACTGTACCTTTTTAATTTCACTTATATCAATAACGGGGTTTAAAAGTAAATAAGCTTGCCCTGTAATTTATGCTGTCTTCTTTGTCTTTGTCAGATAGAAGTAAAAGAATCCAGTTCCATTTGAGTGACTCCCTATGTGGGTTTTCAGAAATAAGAGGAAATGGGAGTTGATAAAACATTCGTCATCAAGTGAATTTGTTTTAAAACCATCCAAGCTTCCATACAGCAAGCAGATAAATTACTCACTATTCAAGAGAGCACAATTAGTTTTACTCTATACTAAACAGACCAATTCCGCAAATGACTGTCTCAAAGCATCTAGAATGTCACAGCTTCTTCCCTTTTCCCAGGACTAGAAGCCAACAGGCAACCATTTTTTCACATTAAAAATCCTTGTGAATATATTTTCCATTGCTTGATGATAAGAAAATTTATATTCAAGTCGTGTTTCCATATGGGTAATAAAAGCGCAACATTACTTAGAATTATTGAAGCTTTTCTTTTATACTAAAGGTAGGCTTTATAACTTTATAGAAAAAAAGATTTTAATCAATTATTTTTAAGCCCTCTTTTCTTCCTCCTAAAATCAGCATTGTATAAAATTGTTTATAATTAAAGAACAAAAGAGGAAATAAAGAAAAGTGTACGAAAGATAAGAGAAAATGAACAAAGTCTACAGCTTGGTGTTTTTCTTTTTAATAATGTAGATAATTACCAGAGTTGCCATTATTTCTTAAATGTGCAGGACAGTATGTGGATATTCTTACTCAATGTCATATCAGAACTAACCTGGATAAATACAATGGCTGCAAACTTTATAAACACAGCTGCAGCAGCAATTTCAGCATTTTCTATTCATAATAACGAAATGATTAATACATGCTCTGGGGAAAGGCTGCGATTACCATCGTTTTAGCTGCCTTAGCGCTCTCCTGCATGCTGATGTTACCAATCAGATAATTGAAATAATCTGATTATTATTAGAATAATCTAATACTGATGGCTGATTTTCACACAGTGCCATTCATCTATAGGTTAATTTTATTGCGTAGGTACTCTTTTTCTCAGAGGTAACTGATTATTTTGATATGTACTTAGATATTATATACACAACATCCTTTATGCCACACTTACAATAGTGTATGATTTTGAAACATGAATTCAAAATACTGTGCTTTATAGTCAAATCAATTCTTCCTACACACTGGCTCACCTTCAAGAAGTATGTGAATGCAATTGAATAATGCTATAAGTTTTTAAAGCTATGTTTAACAAATATGTAGTAGAGGCTGACTAAGGAGAAATAACAGGAGGAAAGAAAAGGCAAGTAAAAAAAAAGGCAGTACCAAAACACATTTGTGTCATCTTCTTGAGTTGGTATTTTTATGCAGGTTAAATTTTATTTAAACTTGTTAAATTTAAGTTAAGTAAGATTAACTGAAGTTGAAAAATAAAAATTGTAAGGCATTTTTTTGATGACAATATGTGTTAATGAATAAAACTTCACAAGTCACTTGTAAGAGTCATTAACTGTTTGGGCATTCAAAACTTGTAAATGTGGTTTGTAATGTAATATATTTCATATTTTATTTACAGGCATTTTGTCTGTTTTGACAAATAATCTTTTTTTAAAAAATAGTTCTTTAACCTAATGTATTAAACATTTCAGTATAGCCTAGCTTTCTTAGAGTTCCAATATAGTTTCCATAGTAAGATTTCACTAAAGAAAAAAAAAATCTGAAACCTTGTGAAACAATCAGTTTTTTTGGTGTATATTCTAAATAATACATTCACAAGACTCTTACACTACACTAAGTATTAAGGGAACAAATTTTCACAGATTTTTTTTCTTAATGTGAAAACATTAACAGTATGAATTATAGTGTAATAAATATTTTATATATAGTTGAAATTTATGGAATTAAAAATGTGCATTTACTAAGGAAGATGGCATCTCATGCGGCTGGCATTACTTCTCTGTGGGTAGTCACTGGCATACAGGATAAGTAAGATGAGAAACTACTGCTCAGGTCCATTGAGATCACTTCAAAAGTGACTGTGTACAAGAGTCTGGCCTCTAAACCCAGCTAAGGGTGTCAGCATCACCAATTGCAACACTTAGTCTTCTGCTTAATTTCATGGTTTTGGTTGTTCAAATATATATTATTTTTTCATCTGAGTCCAAGACTTTTAAAATTTGTAGGAGAACAGTAAGTCTAATTTTTTTGATTGTATTTGGTTTGTTCCTTCTGACTAAATTGAAAAATTGGTACAATTTATGATTTATTTTAAAATGAGTTTTCAGCATATGAAGCACACTTTTGGAACACTTCAACAGTTTAAAGAAAACCACATTTTTATTGGCACATTAAGCACAATTATTTTCAAATGACATAAAATTGTGACTAGTTTGCATATTTTTCAAGTCTCTATTTGCCTTTATTTTAGTTTTTATTAATTATTTTATTCATTTACATTAAAAATGATATCTCCTTCCCTGTTTCCCCTCTGCAAACCCTCAAGCCCATTCCCCCTCCCCCCTGCCTCTATGAGTGTGCTCCACCACCCACTTACCCTCAAAACTTGCACCTCAAAACTTTAGCATTTCCCTGCACTAGGACATCAAGCCTCCACAGGAACAAGGGAATCCCCTCTCATTGATGCCAGATAAGGCCATCCTCTGCTACGTGTATATAGCTGGAGCCATGGGTCCCTCCATGTATATTCTTTGGTTGGTGGGAGCCCCAGTATAGAGGGGGATGCTAGAAAGGTGACAGGGGAGTGGGTGAATGGGTAGAGGAGCACCTTCACTGAAGCAAAGGGGAAGGGGGAGGTGGAATAAGATGAGTGGGCTTGTGGGGGGGTTACTGGGAAGGGGCATATCATTTGAAATGTAAATTAATAACATGATTAATAAAAACAAATAAATGAAGCAATTAAAGAAAAAAGAAAACATTTCATATCAGTTATTAATTCAACATTTTAAAATTAAAGAAAGCAATATTGACCTGATTAATTTTTAAATAATCTTACAATTTCAGTTTATACACAACTGCTTTAGTAAACACCTTCAAATAACTTCAAAGCAGCATTTATTTTTAAGTATGTAATTAGAAACACAGATCCCAAATCTATCTTTAGGATGAGCCATTGATTAACATAATATATCATAAATTTTATAACACTTCTTTCTAATTGTGCCATATCTGAGGTTCCACATGATTTGTTTTATTTTGTATAAAGTTCTACACATGGCTGATTTATTAATAGCATCCCAGTACACTAGTCTTTAAAAGCATTTATTACAAAGTATAAATCAGCATCACACATGTGCAAGGTTTTGATGAAATGCACATTTCCAAATGTAGGTCCAATGAAGAATTATAGATCTCCTCTAATCAGTGTTTCTTGACATGGATATTCTCATAGTTTGTTTCTTAGATGCTTTGGGGAGTTGTTCCATACTCATCAGTGTACGGATAGAACAAATTAGATTGATATATTTTACAAGAGAGAAACATGAAGCTGGATAGGGCTAGGGGGTAGGCCTGAAAGAAGTGACAAAAGGAGTAGGGGGTGAATAAATATGGTCAAACTACATGGAATTCATGCATACAATTCCCAAAGAATTAACATATATATGTTAATTATATATAATTATACTAATTATATATATATTAATATGTTACATATGTTAATATATCCTACAGTTATAGTTATTTCTTTAATCTTTATTTACTTCTCAGATATAATTGTATCAATACATGCTAAATAACAGTGAAACATAAAGTCCTGCATTTTTTAAAATATTTTTTTTCTCAGTTTCTACAGATAAAGTGATATGAAGTAGTGTACAATAAGGCAAAAGAAGAAAAGAGAAACTGTGACATGCTGAAAAAATGAGAAAGATGGTTTCATAATCGACAGCAACATCTCCAGTTCAGTTTATATAAAATCCTCTGTCATATGGACAGTGTTGTTCACTTTCAGAACCATCATTTCTTCTGTGTTCCGAACTGTATAATTGTTGTTTTATGGTTTACATTGTAAATGTGTTTTCACTCTTGCTTATTATGTTTTTTAAGTCTTAGAAGGATGTTAATGAGAGAGACATTGTATACAAATGTATATTTGTAAAAGCTATTTTTATGATTAGCATGTGTCATTGTTGATCACATAGTCATGTGGTATTGCAATCTTACACTTAAAGCTTGATTCCAACAATGTCATAGGGAAAATATACATTGTATGCTAGTTTTTATAATTTAATTTCAATTTATAGTTTAAAGTACCTTAGACCATGCGGAAATCTATTTGAAAAGCTATATTTCTGCCCTCTATAAGCACCATTTTTATTAATAAAGAATGCAGTTGTTTCAGAAGTGATGCAAGGGTTTAAGGACTTTGGTTTGACCTGTGAGCATGCTTGGCTCTAGTGAGCTGAAATTATCCAATCATCACCTATTTTCTGAGTCTGACTGAGCTTCTGTAGACAGTTTTCCATACTCACAGATGAGAAGTAGATTGATAAGAAAAAGATTGTCTTGTCTTTGGATCCAAAAGTTTCAGTTAGTGCACACCCCCTCCATCTTATCTCCTAGTCCTCAGGACCCTCCATTCCCAAGCATTGTGTTTTCCAAATACTTTTCGCTATTGTCTTGTGCAGTGGAAATGGGAGAGACCATCCCCACAGGCTATAGGCACATTCAGCACATAATTTCTTAATAAATACTGGTTCTTTTAAAACAAAGCTGGTGTGTGGTTTTTCTTTGGGTTGTGCTTGTTTTAATATTCAATGTAAACATTTTGCATCTCCACGATGTGATTAAAAACAAGTCCAATAATAAAAGCAGTGTAACTACACTGAAATATGTTCTGGGTATATTCTCCATACCCTTCATGGCATGACTCTGTTTGAACATACATTAACTTCCTGTACAAAAGAAAATCAGATGGCCCTACATCCTTGGCAAAAGTCACCATCCAAATCACATTTTGAGAATGTGTATTGCTCTACTGAGTATTGAATGGTAAAAGAATATTTCTAGATATAAATTTATCTATGTCATCATGAGATCTAGGGTTTTTCATCAGATCATAAGTTTGTTGCTAGATATTTTCAAGGTCTTTATTAAAGAGTTTATGATAACCTCCATCCAAATTAGTTTTGTTACCTAAACTGTTTCATTATATCAAAGCATGTGTTTTCACACAGAAACTGGAGATAACCAGAATTACCTCAATATGTTTTTTGCTAAGTTCCTTTCTAATGCCTGCAAAATGGTTTCTTTCATACTAATTCTTTGTATTCTATACATAATTAAATGAAAAATACACTTGTGTCAAACACCAACATATCCAACTAAAATTTTGGGAGAATAATTATTAGTCAAATTTAATATTAAAGAAAACAAATACGCTATTTTACTTTTCTTACATGTTATGTGTTTGTGTACACACATATGTATATTATTGTTTGTTTCCTTACTTGGTAAAGTGCTAATATTCAAATACAATGTTTCATGCATAATAGGCAAGAATTCTACCTCTGGCTACATCTCTTTTATACCTTCTTATATGAGGGGAGTTGTTTGTTTGTTTTTTAGAAATTTGATCAAAAAAAGCTGAGATCCAGATTAAAGGCTCTCTAGCAGACCCAAGAATTGCAGACAGATTTTGCTCTTTCCCTATTCCTCTCCCTTTGTAAACCTTTAGATTACATTTTCAAGTCTCCCTCAATGTATGTTCCTTTATTTGGCCACTGACTTATTCCTGAGCCAAATAGTCAAGGTCCAACTATCGAAACATTAAAATCCTAATATCAAACTCCATCATTTGACTACACTGGCTAACTATCTTATCAGGAATAACCATTTTATCCTAGCACAAGTTTCACAAACTTCCCCTTTTTCTCCTTAAAAATCCAACTCTTGCAGAAAACACTTACTTCATGCTGTCTTCATTTGCTCAATCGAGAAGCAACCCCCATCCACTTACTTGTCTCTCCAGGATAATAAATCTCCATTGTGCTGAGAACTTGGTTTCTGAGTATGTATGTATCAATTCTGAGGACCTCCCCCCGAAACACACATGCCAAGATCATCATTGCTTATCCCATTTTCAGAAACATGAAAAACATAAGATGGTTGTAGTAGGTTACAAGACAAGGTGAGACTAATCACATCTTGATTCGATGTGCTATCTTGTTTTATGTATACAGATTTACTTCCAAATACACATATTTAGTATGAATCATAGGATGCTTCATTGCCTACACTGTGTGTAAGGAAATAGCATTTATGAGTATTTTACAAATATGTCATCTATCTGCCTTTGTAGTAGTCAATAAAGAATATTGATACCACCATGTTGAGGTCAACTAGGATCATAGCAACATGTATTTTTTCCTCTTATGATGTAAAGAATAACAAACAAACAAAAAATAAAAGCAGGAAAATTCAAGATCTCAACACTGAGCTAGCTTTTACTGAAAGCAGAAGCACATAAAAGCAAATCACTATCTACTCATGTGGAAAAGATATCTTGACTGAAATCAAAATTTTTATTGAGGTTGGACGGGTTCTCCTTTCTCAGAATTGGCTGGCTGGGACTGTTTCACAGCAGACTGAATGACCCATATGAATTCAGGGAAACTAGTTTCTACCACAAGGTATTCCTTACTGACCTTATTAGAGATTTGGAAGTGTCACAAAACAGTTGCCTCTGGGGTGAAAAGGGTCAAGTTTTTGTCTTGGTGTTCCAACACAACTCAAATACTAAGTCTTTGGCGTGAAATTATTAAAAAAAATTCAGACTATCACCATCTATATGCCAGCAAGGGTCGTCTCCTGCCCCCATGGTATACCCCCATTTGGTGATCTGTCCAGTTTCTCAAGGTTAGCTGGGGGGAGGGGGCTCTCTTACCAATCCCCGCACTACAGTGGGGTTACGTCTCCCCTGGAGCTCGGTCCCTGCCATCCTGTCCCAAAGCCTGGTCGAATTCTGCCCCAGAATTTCTGGGTGGCCAGGAACACCCACCTTCTCCCAGCGATTGGCTTTTTGTCATCTTTATTATCCAATAAATTAATTAGGGGAAAATTTCACTACACAAGTCAATACAGAAAACAAAATATTGTAATCAAGCTGCTACTGATTGGTTACAGATGCAGAACAGATTTGGGAGCTGAGCTCTGACCAAGCCAGAATGTTCCATAGATGGTAATTTTGAAAGCCACAAACATCTGTGCAAAGTTACAGTTACATTTTTCCACCAATCAGGATTCAGGGATGGTGGACTTTCCTAGGAACTTTTCTTTGTGGTATATTTACCCCGTCCTCATTGATTGTTTTTTTTTTTTATTGGATGTTTTATTTACATTTCCTATGCTGTCCCCTTACCCCATCCCCCACCCACCCAGGAACTCCCAATCCCCTCACCCCTCCTCCTCCTTCTCTGTGGATGTAACGTCTATCTACCCCGCCCCACTCCCACCTCCCCACCCTCAAAATTCCCACCCCCTGGGGCATCCAGCTTTCATGAGGTCAAGGTTCTCTTCTTCCACCTATGCCCAGCAGGGCCCTCCACTCTTACATATTCAACTGAAGCACTGGATCCCTCCCTAAGTGCTCCCAGGCTGGTGGTTTAGACCCTGGGAGCTGTGGTTGGCTGGTATTGTTGCTCTCCTCATGGTGCTGCAAATCCTTTCAGCTCTCCTTCAGTCTTCACTCTAACTCCTCTATTGAGAACCCCATGATCAGTTCAATGGCTAGTTGTGAGCATCTGCCTCTGAGTATGTCAGACTCTTGAAGACCTCTGAGGTGATATCCATATCAGGCTCTTATCAGCATGCACTTCCTGACTTCCACATCAGCCTCTACCTTTGGTGATCGCACATGGGATAGATACTCAGGTGGAGTGGTCTTGAAACGGCCCCTCCTTCAGTTTCTGTCCCTCACTTTGTCTCCATATTTGCTCCCTTGAGTAATTTGTTGGTCCTTCTAAGAAGGACTGAATCACCCCCACTTGGTCTTCCTTCTTTATGGGCTTCATGTGGCCTGTGAGTTGCATCTTGGGCATTTTAAGGTTCTGGGCTAATATCCAATAATCAGTGAGTGAATACCATGTGTGTTCTTTTGTGATTGGCTTACTTCACTCAGGATGATAATTTCTAGTTCCATCCATTTACCTAGGAATCTCTCGAGTTCATTGTTTTTAATAGCTGTGTAATACTCCATTGTGTAAATATACCACATTTTTTGGATCCATTCCTCAGTTGAAGGACATCTGGGTTCTTTCCAGCTCCTGGCTTTTATAAACAAGGCTGCTATGAACATAGTTGAGCATATGTCCTTGTTTTATGTTCGAGATTGTTTGTTTTTTTTTTTTTTGAATCATGGTAGGGTGACTTTGCCTATCATTCATGTCTTAACTTGCCAACCAAGTTATCAATTATCCACAAATCAATCTCTCTCTCTCTCTCTCTCTCTCTCTGTGTGTGTGTGTGTGTGTGTGTGTGTGTGTGTGTGTGTGTGTATGTGTGTGAAATAGGATGTCAGCTATCCAGGGAGCTCTTGGAACCCTAAACTTTGTATGATCCTATTCAAAATGGAAGTCTTAATCAGAAAAGCTTGGGTTTAATTTCTTCTTAAATTACCACTTGTTCTTGTATATTATTCAAATACTTTATTATCTGTCTCAGGATATAAGGGATTGCATTGGATCCTTAAGATTATGAGGGTAACTGAGTTAACTCTATACTAAGTAAATTTAACTAGAGCCCTGGGAATCCAAAGTGCTATGAGGAGCAGGAGGAAAGGAGGGCCAGTGCTCCTGATAATGTGGTGGGGAAGGTGGTTAGCCAAGAGGACTAAAGAAAGAAATTCTGGGACCAGTTACCAGCCTGCCTCCTTTATTTCTCCCTGTGCAAGAAGGTTTTTATTATTTTTTTTCCTTTTGCTAAGGGATCTCACACTACCCTAGAATGACTGGCATAACAACTGCAATTTTGTCTCAAAGGGAATTTACTTTTGACTCACCATTTTCAGTCTGTTTAGGAGCAAGGACAGTGTACTCTCTTCTGTAACTACTTTCAGCTGATACTGGGGCTTTGGTTGTCAGGATCCAGGAAAGCTGAAAGGCTGTTCAAAGGCTGGGCAATGGGGCATTTTTCAATAGTATCTGATTTTTCTGATCCAGCTGAAGAAATGGAGAGCAATTACATCAGCTGGACTGGTTTTCATCAGCTTTCAGCAAGTTCAAAGTTAAGCAGTTTGCAGTCTGTAGGTATTCTCTGGATACTGTCTGTCAGCCAAGTGAAGATAGGCTCAGATAAATATAGACTACATACAACAGTTCCTAGTAATTGAGGAAGGGGAGAAGTCTCAGTTGAGGCGAGATAATCCTTTTCTGAGGAATAGAGAAGTGCAGAAACTTAGGCTATACTTATCTGAAGATAATTTGACTCTGATAGGTAGATCCAAGTCTTATGATTTCTTTTTTTCCCTTTTTTTCCCTTTTTTTTGGTGGATATTGTATTTACATTTCAGGTATTATCCCCTTACCCCATCCCTCACCCACCCAGGAACCCCCTATCCCATCGCTCCTCATCCTGCTTCTCTGCAGATGTGTCCTTACCTACACACCACTCCCACCTCCACAACCTCGAATTCCCCCAGACACGGAGTCCAGCCTTCATGGGACCAAGGATCTCCTCTCCCACCTATGCCCAACAGGGCCATCCTCCCTTACATATAAAGTTGGAGCCATGGATCCCTCCCTAAGAGTTCCCAGGCTGGTGGTTTAGACCCTGGGAGCTGTGGTTGGTTGGTATTGTTGTTCTCCTCATGGGGCTACAAACCCTTTCAGCTCCTTCAATCTTCACTCTAACTCCTCCATTGAGAATCCCTTGATCAGTTCAATGGTTAGCTGTGAGTATCTGCGTCTGAATATGTCAAACTCTAGCAGAACTCTAAGGAGACAGCTACATCAGGCTTCTGTCAGCATGAACTTCCTGACATCCACATCAGTGTCTAACTTTGGTGACTGCACATGGGATG